CTCTGAGTGTCCTGCTTCTGTAATTGCCACCCCACTAGCTGGAAGTAGCAACCTTGAGTCTTTTCTCCATAATTGTGCCTTTAAACAACCTTGCAGGGCCTTGAAGCCTCCTGCTGTATTACGTGCTCCTCAAGACAAGAATTTGGTTGCAGTCTGTGTATCCCCAGCACCCAGCTCAGAATCATGTTTTCTGAATCCTGGAGATTTCTATGGCTGGCTTTTGCACCTAATCCTTAAGGTCTTGAGCAACTGGAACCAGCCTCAGGGTTAGAAGTCACAAGAAAAACCCAACTATTTAAAAAATCCTAGTTGACTTCTGTATCTGTGAAACATAAAGTTGACTTCTAGGAATCTCCCACTTCCTCTTCTAAAAGCAACAAAATTTTGAATTCTGGCAAAACTGCTGGCCTCTGCCTCCCTATTTCCTGACCCAGTCTAGTCATCCAGTAATATCCTGTGCTTCTATCACCCAAAACCCTATCTTTATAGATAAATTCATAGTATAGAATAAAGGTTGATACCAGGCATTTTTCTCCTTTTATCACTTAGATAGCTATATAGATGGAAAAAAGAAGGAAGGAAGGAAAGTAAGAATATCAACATTTAAGTTTATGAGGGATATTGGCCTGTAATTTTTCTTTTGTGTAATATTTTTATCTGATTTTGGCATCAGAAAAATTCTGGTCTCATTAAATGAGTTGGAAGTATTCTCTCTTTCTTTTTCTATATGTGTTTGTGCAGAAATGGTTTTTTTTCCCTTAAGTGTTTGGTAGAGTTCACCAGCGAGGCCATCTGGTCCTGAAGATTATTTGTTGGAATACTTTAAATTACAAAATAATTTTCTCTAATGGATATATGGTTACTAGAATTGTCTATTTCTTTTAATATCAGTTTGGTCATTTTTATCAAATTACTAGTTATTTCATCTAAATTATTGAATTTACCATTGTTTTTGAAAAGAATATATTATCATTTGAATGTAGGATTTGTAATAATGTTCCTCTCTCATTCTTGATACTGACAATTCATGTATTCTCTTTTTCCCCTCACTTGATGTACTAGAGATTTATCAAATTTATTCATCTTTTTAATGAAATTGACTTTTGATATCATTTATTTGCTGTTTCTTGTTTTGTATTTGATTCCTGCTGTGTTCCCTTCCTTTCATTCTGCTTAATTTTATTTAATTTGTACTTCTTTTTTTATGTGGAAGTTTAGATTATTGATTTGAGGCCTTTATTTCTCCTTTCTCATATAAACACTTACTACTATGAATTAGAAATATGTTGTGTTTTCATTTTCATTCAATCCAAAATGCATTGTAATTTCCTTTGATTTTTTTTCCTTCATTGACCCATTAGTTAATTAGTAATGTATTTGTAAATTTTTAAATACTTGGTGATGTTCTAGATATTGCCCTTTAATTAATTTCTAGTTTAATTTCATTGTTAGGTACAGGGGCTTGTGTCTACAATCTCAGCTACTCTGATGATGAAGTAGGAACATTTCTTGAAGGCAGGAATTTTGAGATAGCCTAGGCAACACAGCAATACCCCATTTCTAAAAATGAAACATTTTGATGAGAAAATAAATTTAATAATCTTTTCAAATTTATTCATGTTTCTTTTACAGCAGAAAATACAGTTTATATTGGTGAATATTCCATTTATACTTGACAAAATGTTTATTGTTATTGAGTAATGTGATCTAAATTGTCAATTTAGTCAAGTTGATTATGTTGTTCAAATCTTACAAATTTTTATTTTATGTGTTCCATTTATTACTGATAGTAGAGAGTATGGAAATCTTCAACTTTATGGATTTTTCCTTTTAGTTTTATATATTTTGAAGCCCTGGTGTTAGTTGCATAAACATTTATATTCATTGTATCTTCTTGATGGATTGACCACTTGAAAAAAATAATGCTTCTTTTTATCCCTAGAAATATTTATTGTGTTAAATCTACTTTATCTGATATTGATGTAATCACATCACTGTTTTCCTGGTATTTTTTTTTTATAGTTTTGCCTTAACCTATTATGTCTTTATATTTAACATATTTATGTCTTTATACTTAAAGACATAAATACAATTTTTATCCAATTTGGCAATCTCTGCCTTTAATATGAGTATTTAGACCATTTAAATTTAATTCAGTGGTTAATATGATGGGTCTAAATCTACCAATTTATAATTGTTTTTGAAAAAATTTGTTCCACCTGTTGTTCTTTTTTCCTCTTTTCCTGCCCTCATTTGATTTCAATACTTTTTTTGCTTTTTTTTTGATTTGAATATTTTTGATGACTTTTTCTTTATAATTGCCTTATAGTCATGACTCTTTGTTTTATTTTTCTCATGGTTACTCTAGGGTGTACAATGTGAATCTTTATCTCAGTGCAGTCAACCTTCAAAAATTGTTATGCCACTTCATATAAAGAACCTTATAACAGTATACTTTCTTTTAGTTCTTCCTATTTCCTGTGCTATTGTTATACATCTCACATCTACATATGTTAGAAACTTCACATTGCTATTATTTTGGTTTGTAACAGTCAGTAATCTTTCAACATGATTAAAAATGAGAAATATATGTCTATATATTCCCACATACTTATTTCAGATGTTCTTCACTCCTTTCTGTAGATCTAAATTTCTCAATAGTATTCTCCTTTAGCCTAACAAACTTCTTTTGACATTGCTTATAGTCCATGTCCACTGGCAAGGAAGTTCATCAATTTTTGTGTTCTGGAAATAAAATGTCTTTATTTTTCCTTTTTTTTCTAAAATATTTTTCTTTGAATATATATTTCTAGGTTGATAGTTTTTAAAATTTTTCTTTTGGGCACTTTAATGATATTTTATTGTCTTCTGGTGTATAAAGTCTGTTATTGGAAGTATTAGAAAGACTTCTTATTGAGTCTTTCTCTTATTTCTTCTTTTAAAATATATGTATATATTTTATTGCATTTTAGGTTCTGGGGTACATGTGAAGAACATGCAGTATTGTTGCATAGGTATATGCATGGCAGTGTGGTTTGCTGCCTCCATCCCCATCACCTATATCTGGCATTTCTCCCCATGTCATCCCTCCCCAACTCCCTACCTACCACTGTTCCGCCCCTAGTCCCCACCACACACCTCAGTGTGTGATGCTCTCCTCTCTGTGTCCATGTGTTCTCATTGTTCAACACCCGCCTATGAGTGAGAACATGTGGTGTTTGATTTTCTGTTCTTGTGTCAGTTGCTGAGAGTGATGGTTTCCAGGTTCATCCACGTCCCTACAAAGGATACGAACTCATCATGTTTTGTGGCTGCATAGTGTTCCATGGTGTATTTGTGCCACATTTTCCCTGTCCAGTCTATCATCGATGGGCATTTGGGTTGGTTTCAAGTCTTTGCTATTGTAAACAGTGCTGCAATGACATATGTGTGCATGTGTCCTTATATTAGAATGATTTATAATCCTTTGGATGTATGCCCACTAATGGGATTGCTGGGTCAAATGGAATTTCTATTTCTAGGTCCTTGAGGAATCACCACACTGTCTTCCACAATGGTTGAAGACAGTGTAAAAGTGTTCCTATTTCTCCACATCCTCTCCAGCATCTGTTGTCTCCAGACTTTTTAACGATCTCCATTCTAACTGGTGTGAGATAGTATCTCAATGTAGCTTTGATTTACGTTTCTCTAATTAGCAGTGATGATGAGCATTTTTTAATATGTTGGCCTCATATATGTCTTCTTTTGAAAAGTGTCTGTTCATATCCTTTTCCCACTTTTGAATGGTTTTGTTTGTTTTCTTCTTGTAAATCTGTTTTAGTTCTTTGTAGATTTTGGATATAAGTCCTTTGTCAGATGGGTAGATTGCAAAAACTTTTTCCCATTCTGTTGGTTGCGGGTTCACTGTAATGATTGTTTTTTTGCTGTGCAGAAGCTCTGGAGTTAAATTAGATCCCATTTGTCTATTTTGGCTTTTGTGGCCAATGCTTTTGGTGTTTTAGTCATGAAGTCCTTGCCTATGCCTATGTCCTGAATGGTTTTGCCTAGGCTTTCTTCTAGGGATTTTTATGGTGTTAGATCTTATGTTTAAGTCTTTAATCCATCTGAAGTTAATTTTAGTGTAAGGTGTCAGGAAGGGGTCCAGTTTCTGCTTTCCGCACATGGCTAGCCACTTTTCCCAACACCATTCATTAAACAGGAACTCCTTTCCCCATTGCTTGTTTTTGTCAGGTTTGTCAAAGATCAGATGGTTGTAGTTTTTTTTTTTTTTTTTTGAGCTGCAAAAGGGAATGTTTATTATAGTTTGTACATTATAAATACCTAAGAAACTATTTTCTTTACACCGTTATTGCCATGATTTCCTGTGGACAGCTTCACGCAGCTGTAAAGTCCGTGCTGCATGGGTCTGGCCCCTATAGACCCACCATGTTGAGCCCCAGCTTTTCTGCTACAGGCCAAGGTCAGAAGCTGCTGATCTTCTGCAGCACGGCCTAGCGCTGCCCCTCGGGGCTGATGTTCTCAGCAATGAACTTGAGAAAGCACTGCTTGTTCACCTTCTGAAGCAAGGAGGTGACAGAAGGGTTGGCCTTGCTCAGAGTCTCATAGCAGGTGAGAGTTTCCAAGGCTAAAACATGCAGTGGCTCACTGACCTCCTGGTGGAGCATGGTGATGATGTGCAGAGTGTGACAGAACACCTGGGTGTAGACAAACAGGGCTTCCTGGGTCAGGTCCTGCTCTTGTCCCTGCGTCCAAGGGCCGACTGACTGTATCAACCTGACTGAGTCCAGGAGGCTGGTCAGACTGCCACACAGGAGTCTCACCATGTGGTTCCAGCCTTCCAGAGGAAGCCAATTTTGACAACTCTGGCTACAGAGAAACTGGAAAGTCCTCAGGAAGAGTACGGAGAGCTGGAGCGCCTGGGCAAAGGGCTTCAGGTTGAGCAGAGGAACAAACTGAATATACTCCAGGCTATATGGGACATGGAGCAGCTGTTTCTCCAGATGATGCTTTCAAGGGCCAAACCTGCTGTAGGTGGGGACGTCCAGCATACTGACAAAAGAAAGAAGAAAGGTAGGAAGATTCCAAAACTAGAGGAGCTCCTTTCACAAAGAGATTTCACTGGAGCTATTACACTGTTGGAGTTCAAACGTCATGTTGGGGAACAAGAAGAGGATACTAATTTGTGGATTGGATATTGTGCCTTTCACCTCGGTGACTACAAGAGAGCTCTGGAGGAATACGGAAATGCTACAGAAGAGGAAAATTGTAATTCTGAAGTCTGGGTGAACCTAGCTTGCACCTACTTCTTTCTTGGGATGTGTAAACAAGCCGAAGCAGCTGGATTTAAAGCTTCGAAAAGCTGACTCCAAAACCGCCTCCTCTTCCACTTGGCTCACAAGTTTAATAATGAGAAAAAGTTGATGAGCTTTCATCAGAATCTTCAGGATGTCACAGAAGATCAACTCAGTTTGGCCTCAATCCACTATATGCGATCTCACTACCGAGGAGCTGTTGATATATATAAGCGAATACTGCTAGATAACAGGGAATACCTTGCCCTCAATGTTTATGTGGCCTTCTGCTACTATAAATTGGATTACTATGATGTGTCTTGAGAAGTTTTGGCTGTTTACCTTCAGCAAATTCCTGATAGTACCATCGCACTCAATCTTAAAGCCTGTAATCATTTTCGCCTTTACAACGGCAAAGCAGCTGAGGCAGAACTCAAAAGCTTGATGGACAGTGCTTCTTCATCCTTCGAATTTGCTAAAGAACTCATCAGGCACAATCTGGTTGTTTTCTGAGGAGGTGAAGGCTTTGCAGGCTTTACCTCCCCTGGTTGATGTCATTCCTGAAGCTAGGCTAAACTTGGTGATTTACTACCTTCGTCAAGATGATGTACAAGAAGCTTATAACTTAATTAAGGATCTGGAACCTACTACTCCTCAGGAGTATATTCTCAAAGGAGTGGTCAATGCAGCCCTTGGCCAGGAAACAGGTTCAAGGGATCATATGAAAATTGCCCAGCAGTTCTTCCAGTTGGTGGGAGGATCAGCTAGCGAATGTGATATAATACCAGGAAGGCAGTGCATGGCTTCCTGTTTCTTCCTGCTTAAGCAATTTGATGATGTCTTGATTTACCTCAACTCATTTAAGAGTTACTGCTATGATGATGATATCTTTAAATTTAATTATGCCCAAGCCAAAGCTGCAACAGGCAATACCAGTGAGGCTGAAGAGGTGTTCCTCTTGATCCAAGTGAGAAGATGAAAAATGATTACATTTACCTCAGCTGGTTAGCTCGGTGCTATATTATGAATAAGAAACCAAGACTAGCCTGGGAACTTTATCTCAAGATGGAAACCTCTGGCGAGTCCTTTAGTCTCTTAAAGCTCATTGCTAATGACTGCTACAAGATGGGCCAGTTTTACTATTCTGCCAAAGCTTTTGACGTCCTCGAGAGGCTGGATCCCAGCCCTCAATATTGGGGAGGCAAAAGGGGTGCCTGTGTGGGCATTTTCCAGATGATCTTAGCTGGGAGAGAACCCAAAGAGACCCTTCGAGAAGTGGTCCATTTACTGAGAAGCACAGGTAACACCCAAATAGAGTACATCATCCGGATTATGAAGAAATGGGCCAAAGAAAACAGAGTACCCATCTAAGATAGCCCCAGCATCCTAGGAACCAGCTTCCACTTTGACATAAAGCTGGAAATTATTTTCACTCAAGTTTAATCTGTGATATAGGGCTCTGTTTTATTGACATTTTCCCTCCTTGCTTTTTAAGCCTCAAGGTCAGTGACTGACTTGCTGAGACCTAGTCTCCTGGCTGAGCAGAGTACCATAGTCTGTGACCCTGTATGATCCTTCTAGCAATAAGACTTTGGACTTGTCTGGTGCCCTTCTTCCAGAAATGCTCAGAGTACTTTTATGTAATTTACTGACTTTAAGGAAAACAGTATAACTTTTTTTTTGTTAGCATTTTATGGCATTGTTTCCTGACTGCAATAACAAATGTCTTTGATGTGCAAGAAAAAAAAAAAAAAGTTGCCTTCAAGGCCTCTGTTCTGTTCCATTGGTCTATATCCCTGTTTTGGTACCAGTACCATGCTGTTTTGATTACTGTAGCCTTGTAGCATAGTTTGAAGTCAGGCAGCATGATTCCTCCAGCTGTGTTCTTTTTGCTTAGAATTGATTTGGCTATGTGGGCTCTCTTTTGGTTCCACATGAAGTTTAAGGTGGTTTTTTCCAGTGCTGTGAAGCGAGTCATAGGGAGCTTGATGGGGATAGCGTTGAATCTGTAAATTACTTTGGGCAATGTGGCCATTTTCACAATATTGATTCTTCCTAACCATGAGCATGGAGTGTTTCTCCATCTGTTTGTGTCCTCTCTTACTTTGTTGAGCAGTAGTTTGTAGTTCTGCTTTAAGAAATCCTTTACATTCTTTGTTAGTTGACACATTTAAAGCAGCATCTAAAGGAAAATATATAGCAATAGATGGTGGGCACATGAGAAGCAAGATCTAAAATTGACACCCTATTTTCAAAATTGAAAGAGCTAGAGGAGCAAGATCCAAAAAACTCAAAAGCTAGCAGAAGACAAGAAATAACTAAGATCAGAGCAGAACTGAAGGAGATAAAGACACAAATAAACCCTTCAAAAAAATCAATAAATCCAGGAGCTGGTTTTTTGAAAAGATCAACAAAATATACAGACCACTACCCAGAATACTAAGAAAAGGGAGAAGAATCAAATAGATGCAATAAAAAATGATAAAGGGGATATCACCACAGATTCCACAGAAATACAAACTACCATCAGAGATTACTACAAACAACTCTATGCACGTAAACCAGTAAACCTGGAAGAAATGGATAAATTCCTGAACACTTGCACCCTCCCAAGCATAAACCAGAAAGAAGTTGAAACCCTGAATAGACTAATAACAAGTGCTGAAGTTGAGGCAGCAATTAATAGCGTACCCACCAAAAAAAGCCCAGGTCCAGATGGGTTCACAGCCAAATTCTACCAGACATACAAAGAGGAGCTGGTACCATTCCTTCTGAAACTATTCCAAACAATACAAAAAGAGGGAATTCTTCCCAAATCATTTTATGAGACCAACATTGTCCTGATACCAAAACCCAGCAGAGACTCAACAAGAAAAGAAAACTTCAGGCCAATATCCTAGATGAACATAGATATAAAAATCTTCAATAAAATACTGGTAAACCGATTGCAACAACACATCAAAAAGCTTATCCATCACAATCAAGTAGGCTTCATCCCAGGGATGCAAGGCTGGTTCAACATACGCAAGTCTATAAATGTAATTCACCACATAAACAGAACCAAAGACAAAAACCACATGATTATCTCAATTGATGCAGAGAAGGCTTTTGACAAAATTCAACGGCCCTTTATGCTAAAAACTCTCAATAAACTAGGTATCGACAGAATGTATCTCAAAATAATAAAAGCTATTTATGACAAACCCTCAGCCAATATCATACTGAATGGGCAAAAACCAGAAGTGTTCCCTTTGAAATCTGGCCCTAGACAAGGATGCCCTCTCTCACCATTCCTATTCAATGTAGTATTGGAAGTTCTAGCCAGAGCAATCAGGCAAGAAAAAGAAATAAAGCATATTCAATTAGGAAAGGAGGAAGTCAAATTGTCTCTATTTGCAGACGACATGATTGTATGTTTAGAAGACCCCATCGTCTCAGCCCCAAATATCCTGAAACTGATAAGCAACTTCTCAGCCAAGGCTCAGGATACAAAGTCAGTGTGCAAAAATCACAAGCATACCTATATAACAATAACAGACTTAAAGAGAGCCAAATCAAGAACGAACTGCCATTCATAATTGCTACAAAGAGATTCCTTCTTTTTGGATTGTTTGGAATAGTTTCAGAAGGAATGGTACCAGCTCCTCTTTGTATTTCTGGTAGAATTCAACTGTGAACCCATCTGAACCTGGGCTTTTTTTGGTTGGTAGGCTATTAATTGCTGCCTCAACTTCAGCCCTTGTTATTGGTCTATTCAGTGTTTCAACTTCTTCCTGGTTTAGGCTTGGGAGGGTGTTAGCATCCAGGAATTTATCCATTTCTTTCAGGTTTGAAAGTCTTTCTCTCTATAGAATATGCCTTTTAAAATGATATATTTTCACTTTATTACTGATGTTTAGTAATTTCAGTGTGATCTTCTTTGGTGTGATTTATTTATGATTATTTTTCCTGGTATGGGTTAACCTGCTTGGGTCTGTGATATATATGTTAAGAACTGGGAAGGGCCTGAGATTTTTACCCTACTTTCCAAGCTAACATGTTAGCTTACTAGAGTTTCACGGAGTTCTTAATTATTCACAGTAATAGTAGTAGCTAAAGTATCAACATTTCTTTGATCTTCAGTTTCTACAAGGTTATGTGAAGAGGTCCACGTGACATTTGAACTTCAATTAAGCTGTATTATGGACAAGAACCCTGAGCTTAGGGAATCAGAATCTTTATAAAGGGCAGTATGCATGTCTTCCTTTTACTCTAAATGGGAAAATAAGGATATCTCTTATCTCACCTTCTCTTCTAAGACTGTAAGCAAACCTACCCCTTTTTCAGAGCTAGACCCTATTTTTGCATTCTAAGGTTATTTGCAGTACAAACATATTTCAAAAGGTAGTTCAGGGCAAAAAAAGAGAGTACCTTTGCTTGTAAGATGTCTAGTAACATGAGAGACACATGGAAAACAATTTCCTTCTGGTATATAGTTTTCATCAATTTTGGAAAATTTTTAGCCATTGTTTTTAAAGATATATTTTTTAGCTCCCTTCTTCTTCTAGTACTCCAATTACATACATGTTAGCTTGCCTGATACTGTCCTATAGTTCACTTTGGTTTTGTTCATTTTCTTCAGTCTGTTTTATTTACTCTATATTTTGGCTAGTTCTTGTATCTATATTTTCAAGTTTATTGATCTTTTCTTCTGCAATGTATAACATGCTATCAGTTCCTTTCAGTGTAATTTCATTTGAGGGATTTTTTAATCTCTAAAGATTCCCTTAGTCGTATATTTTATGTCTTTTATTTATGTTCTCATTGTATGCATGCTTTCCTCATCTGGAACATATGATGGATATTTATAGTAATTAGTTTAAGATCTTTGTTAGTTAATTCCATTATCTCTGTTACTTTTTGAGTATTTCTATTGTTTCTCTGATTATTGTTCACATTTTTCTGCATCTTCACTTGCGTTGCAATTTCTTTACCACCTGATGTCCAGCATCTGAAAATTGTTTTTCTATATATTTAGTCTGGTTCTTTAGTTCCTTATGGTAGAAAGACAAGTGAAATTCTTTTTACATCATAATGTCTGGAAGCAGATTTCTTTCATTTCTTCTTAATTTATTAGCTGAAATAATTCTAAAAATGAAACTGTCCTTAATCAACACTTTGGTTATCCTGAGTACAGTTTATGTAGGAAAGACATCTTTTCCTTTACTTAACTAGTTTTCAAAACCTTTATTTCCTGGCACGCAGAGACCATTAGATTTTAAAAGTATTGTTATAAACTCAAAATAATATAGTTGATATGTTTAAAAGTGTTGCATTTTAATTGTGTTTTAAATGTGTTTTTAAATTTTAATTGCATTTTAATTGCATTTTAAATGTGTTTTAAAATGTTGCAGTTATCATTCTAATGAATGCTCACATTATCTCGTCTTTGGTCATTAGTAGGCTCTTCAATTTGGCTCTTGCATCTTTTCGATACAATAGCCTTTAAATACTTCCTTGCTTTCTGTTATGACAAGAGCCATGCTTTTCTTGTGCTTTTTCTATCCAAGAAAACCTGGAATCATGGATTTCTCCAAGGAAACTGGTTCATTATAGTGGAAATTGGTATTTAGAGATCCAATATAGATGCTAGGAGACTCTTGGATTTTTGAAATTATATTTCCATGGGTTGTATCCAATCTAGGACCGCTCATGTGAGTATAATTTGAAGGTAGACAAAACTGCCATCCCTAAAGATAATTCTACATATTTATAAAGGAGCAGCAGATACTGTCTATCAAGTTCTGGAAAACGGTACTCAGATCAGCGGGCATTATTAAGTAATAAATTGTACAAGTTTGAGTAATTCAGAAACGAATGATATTTTAGACAAATGAAATCAGAAAAATACCACCCAGAATAAAGCTGAAATGAAGAGACAACTAAAGTAAAAATCTGGAGGGGCTGGGTGGAGTGGAAGAAACCTAGGTTGAAGGAACGCAATTGAGAGTACAGATATCTAATAGAGAGGATGGATGCATTTAAAATGGTGAGTGGAAAGGAGAACTGGAGAGTCTCCAAGGCTCTGGAGTTCTTAGCAGGAGGGAGACATTAACTGCACTGTGGAAGCCTCATTATATTCATCAGGGAAGCATAAAAAATAGATTTAGGTGAATGAGGCTGATGACTAGTGACATGAAGCTATATTAATCTGACTCATGTTTCCTCATTATAGATCTGTAGCTGACAGAAAAGGAATACTCTTATTTGATTATCAGGGTGTCTTTTTTTTTTTTTTTTTTGAATAGTGCTGGAATTTTGTCCCTCTGATTTCTAATTTTACACATTGTAGTCCAATCCTTTATGATTGTATATTCTTTCTTTTGATTGTATATTCTTTCTTTTTCTGTTTATTAAGCTTAAACATATATAGAATCATAATTTTGTTACAAGTTTACACTCATGTCACTGTGATTAGGATTTTGGATGCTCTTAAAACTCTTAATCTGAGATTGAGCCTCTTGGCTGGTATTAGTGGCATAGATGGCATGTCATCATTCTAGTTTGATTCTTTCTAATTTACTCCCTGATGGTAACTTAAACTTCAGATTGGAGATAAACACTTTCTGTCCTTTTTTCCTCCAAAGTAGATATTTACCGTGTTCCTTAAAGTTCAGAAACTATTTATGATTTGCATACTACTTGCAAGCCAGTTTCTTCTGATATATGCCTAAATAGGATCCATTAGTATTAAACATCAGCTATCTTT